CGCGATGCCACGCGCGGAGGCGGCGCGAGCAGAATCGCAGGTCCCAGCTGCGTTTTGGCCGGCAGCCAGTGGATCCGATGATCCAAGTTTCACGCGGGGCCTATGCCTGCATGATGAGAGCGCCATGCACCCCCCCTCTTGTTCCTCCGAGGTCGCGATCTCGGATCGGGCGGCGGTGGGATACTCGAGATCCAGCAGAGACGACTGAAGTTATTCGTGGCTCGGGCGCGAACCCAAGCGGCAGTGGCCATCCCCCCCCCAGTGCGAGGAGAGGACGTCGGCCCTCTGCGAGCGCGCCCGAGCCCGTGAGCTAGGCCAAGCCACTGCAGCCTTAGCTCGCGGTTTTCAATCGGATTTCAATCAGAAGAGGCGGCTGCCAGTCGCCCGCTGCGGGGAGCGGGGGGGGCGGGGGGCCCCGAGCGTCGCCGGCCACAGCCAACGCGCAGCATTCGCCGCGGAGACAGCGACACCGATTAGACATGCAGGAGCCTGCTCCATCTTTGTCTAGGTGGATGGCGGAGTTGCAGGTCGGGCCCCGCGCCGGGGTTGCCCCGAGGCGGCGCCCGCCCCCTGCCCCGGCGGCGCCAAGCCGTGGGCGGCGCTGCCCGGCCTGCCTCACGCCCCGACTGGCCGCGCCGACGTCGCAATGTCTGCGGCGAGGAGGAGGCCGCGACTAAGTCCGGGCCTCTATTTCCCCCTATGAGCATCGTCTATCCGATCCCCATCCCCAGCGGCGCGGCCTGGGCCCCGCTGGCCGATTTCCCCCCCTTGATGGGGACATAGGCCGTTTCCTTCGCCCCTTCGGGCTTCGCGGGGCGCACCCCCAACTGGGAGGGTAATTTGGCGGGGGTCTCGAGGAGGATGGGGGCGAGGATGGATCGGATAAACGATGCTGGCTCTTGGCCCTGGGCAGGATGCTCGGGGCCTTCGCGCCCCCCGCCGTCGGCGCTTCTGGCGGCTTCCTGGTCTCGCTGCCAGGCCCGACGATCAGCGTTGGACGCGTTTGCTTCCTTGGAGGGGCCGCGGGCGCTCCCTCCGCGCCCTGGGCGACGTCGGCAGCTGCGCATGCCGCGCCTGGCGAACATCGCCAGACGTCCTTTGGATCCAGGGTTGGATCCAGGGAGAGCGCTCACAGCGAGCGCCCTCCATCGAGCTGCACTGTCGCAATGCCCACTCGACATGAAATGTTCGCCGGGCGGGATCTCATCTTACATTATCCTGTCAGGCGGGGCAGTTCCCCTCCCCGAGCGGACGCTCGGCCGCGCGCGGGGGGGGGGGGGGGCAACTGGGAAGGGGCCCCGACAACCAGACTCAGGGGGCGGGGGGCCATAGACGGACGACGCGCCGCCAGGAGATGTCGGAGGCCCGCGGAGCCCGACGGGACCCTGGGGGCCGACTCCGAATCGCGCCCCCGCTGGTGAGTGAACGCCTCGGCGCTGGCATCAGCCAGGCCATCGAGGCACCTCTGGTAAATCCTGCGAACTGGCTCAAAATACCGGATGTGTGAAACACCCCAGTGCACTCTACGCCCACCCTTTCTCCGCGGGGGGCAGGGGCCATTTTGCCCCCCGACGCCCCGCCCCAAGCGGCAAGCCCCATCAAGGTGCCGAGCATTAGTCGGCCAGCTAGAAGGCCAGGCAAAGGCTGCGCGCCAACCAATGCCCCGAAGTTAACACGCGGCGCGAAAGAAGCAGACGATGGCAACGGGCTCACGCCACTGGCCGCTGCCCCCGCCGCCCTGGAAAGTGCTGCAGCGCAAGTCGCACTGACAACGAATCCCCAAACGATCGATGCCCCGAGCCCTTCAAACGCCCCCCGGCGCAAGAAGCGATTGTCACGATCATCCGTCATCATCTGGCTCCCGCAACGGGCGCGGTTCAGGCCCCTGGCGCCCGCGACGGCGGTGGAGAAATCGGCGCCGCCGATCCTGCGAAAGCTGGCCCTGGGATATGTTCCGTCTGGGTCGGATAGCAGGGCTGCGTCGGCGACGGCGCGGGGGCGACATCCTGCGCGCTGGGCTGCGCGGAGGGCACGGCCCAGAACTGCGCCGGGTCGAACGACCCCCCGCTGGCGCAATTACGGCCCTTGGGAGAGGATCTCGATGACTGGCTCCTCCTGGCGCTGCTGGGCCTCCGCCAGGTTCTGGGCTGCCATCTGCGCGACCATCTGCTGAGTGTTGGGCGCGCTCGGTGCTGCGACTGCTGCGGCTGGGCCCGCTGCTGCTGCTGATGCCGTCATCGCCGCCGCGGTGAGGCAGGCGCCGACCTTCGCGTCCCTCCCGAGGTCCTCCTCCGTCGGCATCGCCTGGTGCTTCGCCAGCGGCACGTCCGCTGGCGCCTGCTCCGCCTCCCTGTTCGGCGTCGGACTGGCACTGGGCCGACGCGGGCACTGCGGCGGCAAACTCGACGAGCTCGACAGCCACGGCACAGTGTTGCTGCACCAGGTGGGACATCATGGTGGACGTCTCCTGCGGCTACATCGGCATATTGGCAGCCTGGAACGCCGTGCGCTGCGGAGGCTGGAAACTTGCTCCCATGGCCGCCTTCGAAGCCGCGACCGAAGCCTCCGGCCCGCCAACCGCCTGCGGCGGCCGCTGCTGTGGCGGGGGGCGCGGCGGCGGGGCTGGCTGTACACCCTGCTGCGCTGCTTCTGCAGCCCTCAGAGCGATCCCCTCCTGCGCCTGGACCTGCATCCCTCTCAGGGTGCCCTCCAGGTTCTCCGCCTTCGTGATCAGCACGTCCCGCTAATTACTGAGGCCCTCGAAGCGCTACTCGAGGTGGGCCACCTGCTGTTTCGTGTCCTCTATCTCGACCTTCGCATGCGAGATCCTCGTGCCGATGGGCTGCAGGCTGCAGGGCCGAGATTGCTTACTTGATGGCTCCAAGCTCCTACAGGCTGTCCTCGTCCTCCGCTCCGCCCCTGCGCGTCGCCAGGACGAGGGTTGTTGGGCGGGCGTCTGCGGCGGATGCACGCACTTCGGGCGCGCATCCGCCGCCAGGCCAAACGCTGCGGGGACCGACCCGGTCAGGCTCCTGACCCCCGCCCCTGTGATCGACCCCCTGCGACCTTTGAAAGGGCGCGTCCTCTGCGGCACCTGCTCGCACCGCCTGTCGGCCGCGGCTGGGCGTCCTGCCCTGCCCGCGGCGCCCTTTGCTCTGCGATCGCGGCCTCCACCTGTAGCCACACAAGCAGCGCCAATGCCTGAATGAGACCTGTCTGTTGCACTAGCGACGTGGCCAAGTCCGATCAGCTCCGCGGTCCGAGAAACAAAATGTTCTGGGGCCAGGTTCCGTACACGAACTGGCGGCTCGAAGGTGTGCAAACAGCCATGCCAACAACACAGGCGCTCCGAGCCGAGGCCGCGCCACCTAAATATCTCGGAGGCCTTCGGTCTCTCGACACCACCTTGATCAAATATTTCATGTGAGCCACAATGTCTTGAGCCGACGTGGCTACGGACCTGCTCCTCCTCCGCCTCCTCCTCCTCCGCCTCCTCCTCCTCCTCCTGCTACTCCTCATCATTCCTGGGCCTGGATCGATTTGCAAAGTCGCATCGTATCGGAAACGGACCCTGGAATGCTCGCGTCGGGAAGCTTCTGGCCGTTTGCGGCCTCCCTCGCCAGGCCCCGGGACCGTCAAAGAACGACTCGGGATGAAAAGCTGTCCCCGGGGATGAAAATTCAAAACGTCGCACATCTGGGAACCATACACCTACACCGATCCTGGCCAGGACCATCCTGGGCCTAGGATCGGTGAATGCCTGTTCAAGCCAGGAAGGCGTACACCAAGACTGGGACACAATCGGACCGAGCCAAATCGGGAATATCTGAGATCCAGCGGTTCTGGAAGATGCATCGGGCGCCGTGGCCGTGCCAGAGCGCTCCAGAACGCTCTGAGAGCGTTCCAGAACGCTCTGGAACCATCTGTCCCGGTCCTGGCCCACCCCGATCTACGCCTTCCTGCCCACGACAGTAGGGCGTGCCCAGACATACGACGTCTTGATTTGTTCATACGGGATCCCCGGAAGACCCGATCCTTTCCCCCAGGGCCAGCTTCTCATCCTGGACCGTTTCTTGACGGTCCTGGGGCCAGTGAGAGCCCCTGGAGGCCAAGGATGGCCAAAACATTCCGTCGTGATTCGGTTCACGACGCGAGCATGTCTGGGCATGCACCGATCCAATTGGAGTGAGCCTTCGTAGGAGCCTCTGTGAACCTCCGCGGCCCTGTCGTAAACGTGATTTCGACCGGATTTCGTCCAGATTTCGAAAACCCCTCTTCATCGTTTCGTCCAGAGCTCATCCAAATATCAGCCGATTCCGACGAAATCCAGGCGAAACCCTCCAAAACCGCAAGAAATTGTGGGACCATCTGAGGCTCCCACGAAGGACCACACAAATCCTTGGGCGCTCATCAACGGGAGGCACTAATAAATGGGGGGGTAGAAACGTGAACCTCTCGTGCCCCTTTGGGGCCCCAGGGGGGCCCTTCAGGACCCCATTCACGGTACAATGTTTGCGCCTTTTCTCCACCCCCCATGTATCGCACCCCTATTACGGCCAGACCTAGGACAGAGGAACATCCTTCAAGAACACGAGAACCTCCGCCGGCCAAAACACCCCAAAAACACCTCCTCGAGGGCACCCTCCCCCAGGACGCACAAGAACATCAAGCAAATACAAAGAACACGAGGGTACCCTCCTCGAACCGACCTAGATCTTAGTGGGGGAACCAAAAGGTATCCATACCGCTACTCCCCAGACCTCTCCTGGGGTGCGCTCTGACCAGGATTTCGAGGCGAATGCAGCGGTGGCGACGAGGGTCTCCCAGGCCCAAACAAGAGAAAACAAGGCGAGGGCAGCGGTATGGGCACCTTTTCCTCCTCTGGAGCATACCTCGGTCCGACCGCACTCGACGCCCGAAAGCCAGGGATCGGGGTCGACCCGGACAGGAGCGGTGCAGGTGCACACGGCGCTCGTGCCCTGCCGGCCCTGGGGGTCGGCCTCGCGAGCGGACGCGCCCGCGGCGCGCAGCTGCGACGGCACCGCATCGGGGGCGTCCATGTAGGCCTGAGGGGCAGCGATACAGGGCGACGAAATTCGGCCGCGGGCCAGGAGGGGGAGTGAGAAGGAGAAAGCCTTCTCAGAAGGCGGCAGAACTTCTCGGGAGCCCTCTGGCCTTCTGAGAGGACCGCTTAGGCAAACTTCTCAGAAGGCCGGGGGACTTGCGAGCCTTCTGAGAAGGCCTTCTCCTTATCACTTCCCCTCCGGGCTCGCCGCCGAACTGCTCCCTGGCCAGGCCCAACATGAACCCAGCAGCGGTGTATGCGCCACGCCCCCCTGGTTTGGTCAGGAGGGCATATACGCATCTCCTGGTTTCAAGACGGGCCTGGCCAGGGAGCAGCGGATATGTATAGATTCCGTCGCCCGACGATAGGGAGGGGGATGGGCGTGAAGGAAATGCATCGACCTCGAATGGCCGATACATCGTCCATATATCGTCGATACGTCGTCGATGCAACCCGCCCCGTGCATCGTCTATACATCGTCGATGCATCGCCCGTGTATGCCGTTGGGCAGCGTGTCCTGAGATCAACGATGCATCATCGATGTATCAACCATCCAAGGTCGTTGCATGCCCCCCTGAGCGTATCCCCCCCCATCTCGTTGCCCCCCGAGGCCTCCAGCGGTAGCGCCTCCTGCGCCTCGCGGATCCCCATCAGGTATTCGGGAGCGTCGTCGACGTCGGCAACGGGGATCAGGAACAGCTCCACGGGGGTCGGGTGCCCTCCCCCTTCCTTGCGCAGGGACACCTGGATGGAGGTGGCGGGGCCCATAGTGTGCTCGTCTGGCTTCGGATGTTCGCCAGGTGACGCGGCAAAACGATTCAGCAAGGCGTCCTCCGATTGCCGCACCGCCGTCGCAGAGATGAAGTCTTGGAAGCGCTGCCGGTCAGACTCTTCCACGTATCGAACGAAGGACTCGCCCTGAAGCGTACTTCTAGTCTCATCTTTGCCATCTCTGGGGGCCAGCAAGTGCAGCAAGTGCGGAGAATGGGCAACGATGCTAGATTGTGGGCATATTTGCAGCTGAGCATCACAGAACACGCTGAGCAGTCTTTGAGTTGCCCGATAAGACCTGCCAGACTGGCTGGACTCTAGAGACGCTATGATGCGGTGCCTCTCGCCCGCTTCGAGGAGGACTGCGACAGCGCAAACGCAAACACAAACGGCAAGCTCAGTTACAAAATGATGTATGAAAACGTCCCTGGGAGACCGCCCGTCTACGCACAACTCGGCGAGTCGCCCCCAGATTGAGAGGCCAACAATTGCAGAGAGAAACGCGTTCCATCTGACAGCGGTCTGCCAGTCAAGCAGCAGCACCGCATTCACCATTCGCAGTCCGCAGCGCAACCCGCCGTTCATAAGGAATAGGTCAGTGTCGGCCAAGTAGATTCGGATTGCGCCAGCCAGCATTACAACTTTGAACAACACCTGTATGTGAGACACGGAAAAACAATTCGTCTCAATGTAGCACTTGTAGCACAAATACGCGACATGCCTGGCAAACATGTATACTGCTGTGAAAGCGAGTGACCAGTCGCAAGGACCTGTACTACTCACAAGTAGCAGATGCACTAGAAATGAAATCGTGATTGGCACCTGAAGCACATCTATGAAGTACTTGCATCGGGCCACCCGTGCCTTGTCGAGTTCCTTGCAGAATCTGTCATTCAAAGGCATGGAAGGAACAGACGCGAGCTTAAGTATCAGTGCTTTCAGTGATTGATGCGGCGTTGCCATGTCGCCCCGAAACTGCCAGCAATATCTCGTCAAAGAGACAATGCATATGGCGATGCAACTGCGAACGATGATCGCGGCCAAGGCCTCGTTATGCACCATTTCGGAGACGCGCGAGTTGCAAGTGCCACAGACTACACACCGTGCTTGCAAAGCTACTGGTTCTTCCCCGCCAAGCGCGTTTGGCAACCAACACGCTCCAGCTGACACGTAACGGCTTGAACTTAAGACGGCTACATCGGAAAGTGCGAAACACTTTGGGATGTGATTTGAATCGGTTGCATATCCGTGCAAAAATGGCACGACATTCCATCAGGATGGCAAAAGTGCGGCGCGATTGTGAATTCGCCGACCCCTTGGGGTTTCTTCGGCGTGTGAAATGTTTGCCCCTGCCTAAACCCCTCCCCTGGGAGCCTGGTCCGCCAAGTTTGGAGGGGGGCGCTCGAGCCGACAGGGCTGGCGGACCCATCTGGTCACGAAAAGATCCAAGGCGCTTAAAAATCGTCCATGAAAGCTTCAACGATCCACAACTGCTCCAGGACGGATCAACCAATGCCCAAGAAGGCCCCAGAAGAACTCAACACAGCCACAGAGGCTCCAAAGACAGCCGCCCAGAAGGTCCCCACGAAGACATCCTCAAGGGCGCCAAGAAACCAAAATCGTTCATTTGCCACCGACATTCCTACATTTATGCATTCGCCTTCCCGATAATCTAGAGACATGAAACAACCCAAGACGCCCCAGAAGGTCTCCTAAGGACAATCTGAGAGGGCCCCAAGATGGCCCAAAAGGCTCCAAGATTGTGCAAAAGACCCCCTATGAGGTCCCCAGGAGAGGCCCAAGAGGGAAGAGGGGGATCTCGAAGGAACCATGGAAACCCTCCCCACAAGATGGCCTCCAAGAACCCCAACGGGCCCCGAAGGAAGCCCCCAGAGGCCCCCAAGAGGCCCCCAAAATGCCCCACCAAGAGTCCAAAATGTCCCAGAACTACCCAACAGGGACCCTTTGGTCACACCGTTGGGTTTCCCACATTTGCGCACGGCGCCCAGACGATTAAACAACAATGCCGCCTGAAAGGGGAGCGATGCGTCGTGAGCGAAAGAAAGAAATCCCAACAACCCTCTGGGCGTAGGTGGTTTAGGGAGTTTCCTCTTCCACCCCCTTTCTTCCCCTTCGGGGAAGGGTTTACCCCTCCCCCCGACCCCCTCCCCTGGACCGGCACGGGGCCGGTCGCGAGCGGTCAGGGCGTCCAAAAAGGCCTCGGCGAGGAAGCCAAAATCATTGGTTTTACTACGGTGTTGGCCCGATGTTGGCCTCTTGGGGGGAGGGGGCAACGCTAAAATGAGCCCCCCTCTTGTTTGATCGATGGCCTCCAAGATGGCCCCCAGAAGCGCCAAGGAGGCCCCAAGCGGTCCCAAGGTGGCCCCAAGATGGCCCCAAGAGGCCCCCAAAGAGGCCCCCCCGAGGCACCCAAGACGCCCAAGAGCCCCCCAGCACCGCCAAGAGACCTCCAAGACGTCCCAAGAGGCCACCAAGAAGCGCCCAAGAGATACCCCAAGATGCTCCGAGGGGCATCCAAGAGACCTCTGGCCCTTTTGCTTGCCCTCCTCCTCCTCCTCCTCCTCCTCCTCCTCCTGCTCCTCCTTCCTCCTCCTACTCATTATCTTCCTTCTCCTCCTCCTCCTCCCTCCTCCTCCTCCTCCTCCTCCTCCTCCTCCTTTTCCTCCTCCTCCTCCCTCCTCCTCCCCTCTCCTCCTCTCCTCCTCCTCCTCCTCCTCCTCCTCCTCCTCCTCCTCCTCCTCCTCCTCCTCCTCCTCCTCCTCCTCCTCCTCCTCCTCCTCCTCCTCCTCTTCCTCCTCCTCATCTTCCTTCTCTTTCTCCTCCTCCACATCCTCATCCTCGTCCTCGTCATCATCCTGTTCATCCTTCTTCTCCCCATTCCCTCATCCATCCATTCAGCCCCCTCCCTCTCCTCCTCCCTCCTTCGCACGGTTCGGTCAGACCCCCTCTTTGCTCCCGCACTTCCCTGATCACCGCAACTCGCCTGGACATCATGTCTGGATGGGTTGGTGGAAATGTTTGTTTTAATACGCGGGCTCGCGAAGCGGGTCGAAAGCCGGGCAAAGCTGGTCGGACCGCGCCGAAACGTTCGTGTGGATTTCGTTGATCGCGAGCGCAAACGGAAAGGCCGCGCGCCGTCCAGAGCTGCCGCTAACCGGCAGAAGCCCAAATTCGCACAAGAGAGAGGAGAAGGGACTGGTGGGGATATCTTTTTGTCAGCGGCCACTAAGACAACGGTCATGTGGCGAAAGCAACGTCCGGGCCACGGGCGAGGCTAATTAGCTAAAACAGAAACGTTGGCCGGCCCCCTCAGACGGCAGCTGCAGGCTGGGCGACGCTGAACTGGCTGACGAACTGCTAGCTCAGGCACGCGCACTGGACAAAATGACAAGAATTCAAGTGGCCGACGCATGACTCGCGCAGGAACCCAGACCTCAGTGGGCGGGTCACTGTGCAGGTGAAGATGGGATGGCCACAGAAGTGAGTCGCCGATGTGGCGCCAGACTCCAAACGGACGACCTGCGTAAGCCAGCCGGCTGAGCAGTCGTGAACCGTGATGCAGCGCACAGGGGGTCTGAAGGTGGGTCTGAAAGGCTGTACCTGACGCTGAAGGCTGGGGGGGCCAGCTGGCGCGGCGGGCATCGCCGGCGAAGAAGAAGAGGTAAGGGGGGGCTGCGCTGCGGTGTCATCGGGCGACGCGCCTGGGGGAGCTGCACTGTGGTAGACGCGGGGGCCAGGAGGCAAAGTCTGGCCCAATCCGCCGTTTGGCACTTCCCCCCAGGCCCGCGAACCTACACACATCACGTGGTCCTCCAGGGCCGAAGCAAGCGCCGCTGAGAGCGATGAGCCAGACCACGAGCAGCGCGGAAAACGGGCGGCCCTGGGAGGGGGGCAACCACACCGACGTGCGACAGGACGTCCGGCAGGCCCCGGGGCCAAGGGCGGGGGACACCCGCCTGGCCCGAGAAGGGAAAGGCGAGGGGAAGCAACGCCTCCCCCCTCGGCCTGGCCCCGAGACCGCGGGCCAGGGGCCGCGGTCATTCTCTTGGGTCATTCTCGGGGGTCGCAGCTGATCGCCGCTAAGATCTCTCTTTAATCTCCTCGGGGGTCGCAGCTGATCGCCGCTAAGATCTCTCTGTAATCTCCTCGGGGGTCGCAGCTGATCGCCGCTATGATCCCTATTTGATGGTAGGTGTGTCCGATTGTTGGTGCCTTCATTTCCTCGGGGGTCGCAGCTGATCGCCGCTATGATCTCTATTTGGTGGTAGGTGCGTCCGATTGTTGGTCCCCCAGGGTCGCGGCAATCCGCAGCTGAAGTGAAACTGACAGTGCGACAAGACAGCGGGGGTGGATGGTCCTCGGGGGTCGCAGCTGATCGCCGCTTGAGTCGTTATTGACAGAGACGCGCCCAGGCAAGGAAGGCGGCGCACACCGCCAGGCAGACGGGGGGGGGGGGGGGGGGCTGAGGCCCACTCCTGGCCCCAGGGCCGGAAGTGGGCCACGGCGCCCCCCCCGCCTGCCTGGCGGCGAGAAGAGGCTCGTCGCCGTCCCCAGTGCAAGAGCAGCGTGCACTGCCACTTCCAGCCTCTGCCACTCGCGCTGCGACACCCGCCAGGCCCCCAAGGAGAGAGGCGGGGGGGAAGCCGCCCCCCCCCTCGGTCGGGCCCCCGCACTCGTGGGAGAGGCGGCGCCCCCGCCGAGCTAGGACAGCGCCTGCTGCCACTGACCGCCCTTCACGCACTCTGATCCCACCGCTCTAGCTGATCACGTTGGGCCCCGAGGCAGCCTGCCGCATTTTGCTGGGCAGCGACAGGGCCCGCTGCCAGCGCCCACCCTTCTCGCACCTGATCCCAGCGGTGCAACTGATGACAGCGGGCTCCAACTTAGCTTCCCACATTCCGGCAATAGCGCCGGGGCATGTTGCCATTCCCCGTTTTCCTGACACACTGATTCCCGCGTCGCATCTGACAACGCGGCGCTTCAACTCAACCTCTGACCCCCACTGAGCAGCGACAGCGCGAGTTGCCATTGCTCTCCCTGGCGCACGCGCTGCCCCCAGCGCTGCAGCTCACGACGCCCAGCTCACACCTCGCACCTCGTGCTCGAAGTCTCTGCAGCTCCCCGCGTGGACCCGGGGGCGCGGCAACCGCCGAGCGTGAACGGGGGGTGGACGGGGGGGGGCGTGCCCTGGGCGGAGCGAAGACGGAGCGCGCGCGGGGGGGCGGCGAGTGACGGCCCTTGGACGCAGGCGCCGGGATGCAAGAGCACCTCGAGCCCCGAGGTAGGTCCCGGGCCCGTTGCCTCGGCAGCCTCCCGCGCGCATCCAAGTCGAATTGCGGTCCTCCAGGGTCGCCGCTAACCGCCGCTCGCACCTGACCCCAGCGCTGCAACTGCGGGTTCCGACTCGGCTTCCCACGCGCCAGCGAGCAGCGCCGGAGCATGTTGCCATTCCCCGATTTACTGACACAAGATCCAGCGTTGTAGCTGACAACGTTGCACTCCAACGCCACCTCTGACATCCCACTGAGCAGCGACAGTGCGAGTTGCCGTCGCTCACCCCTGGCGCACGCGCTGCCCCAGCGCTGTAGCTCACAACGACCAGCTCGCACCTCGGACCTCACGACGGCCCTAGTCGGACAGCACCGGGATGCAAGAGTACCATGTGCCCCCGTGGGATGCCTCGTGCCCGTAGTCTCTGCTACTCCCCGCGTGGAGTACCTCGAGCCCCCGCGGGACGTCTCGTGCTCGAGCTTCCGCAGCTCCCCGCATGGACCCAGGGGCGCGGCAAGCGCCGAGCGCGCACGGGGGGTGGACGGGGGGCGGCGAGTCCTGGGTGGAGTGAGGCAACCGCCGCTCAAGAGCAATGGTAACGATTGTGCTCGAATTGGTCGGGCGTTGTGGTACATCCGGGGCCGCAGCCGATCGCCGCGATGGTCCATTGTGTCCATTTCCTCCAGAGCCCGAATTCTCAGCTGCTCCCCGCGTGGATCCAGGGGCGGGGAACCGCCTCTCTGGGCCGGGTGCAGACGACGCATCCTCGGAGGGTGGCGGCAGACGGCCCTGGCCAGACAGCACCGGGATGCAAGAGTACCCAGAGCCCCCGCAGGCGGACACAAGCCCGCGCGGCAGACATCCCAGAGAGGACAGCAACGGGATGCAGGGCCCCTGGAGCAGCCGCAGGAGGCCCCGAGCCCGTGATCCCAGCTGCACCCCGCGTGAGACCAGGGCCGCGGAAGCCGCCGCTCTGGGCAGAGCGAGGACGGAGCGTGCACGGGGGGGGGGGCGGCGGACGGCCCTTGGCCGCCATCACCTGGACGCAGGGTACCTTGAGCCCCGCGGGCCCCTCCCCGCCGGGGGGGCGGCGGGCCCTGGTCAGAAACCGGCGCGGTGCCACGAGGTGGGACAGCAACGGCTACAGCGAGGAGACGACCCGCCACTGTTTTTGCCATTCCTGAGTGCCCGGGTGTCCGGGTGGTCCTTTGCCGCATGGCGATCCCTGCTCGCCCCGCCGCTTCGACCCGGGCGCCGATGCCGCGGCCGAGTCCAGTCGACGCCGAGGCCCAGCGCATCGCTGACGGCCCGTACGTCGCACTTGTAGCTGCGGAAGGAGTCCAGGAAGCGAAGGCAGGTTTGCGGGTCGCGCCGAAGCGGGTCGAGCGCGCCTTTGCTGCCAGGCCAGGCACGGTCTGCTGCTTGGCGAAAGCGTGCCAGGTGCCTGTGAACATTGTTCCCAGGGTGACTTGGAGCCCCCCCATCGCCTCGCCGGGTGTCTCCCCGGGAAGGCCCCGCTAGATGTTGTCGATCTTTGCTTTGCACGGCTGCTGCCCCGTGTCGGGGCCCGAGGGCTCTGGCCATTGGCTCGGATCTGGCCATTGGCGCTGCCGCGTGTTCTGTCCGCAAGTCTTCGGCGAACCGGCCTCGCTGTCCTGGCCAGAGGGCTCGCTACCTGCTCGCGACTGTTCCGGCTGCACGCCTGGCGGGGCTCTGCGGGGAGACGTGGGCCGCATAGTTGGCCGCCAAGCAGGGGCCGGATCGCACCGGCAGCCCGGGCGGACGCTGCCCTGCGGCGCGCGGGGAAAGGCCCCTTACGCTGGCGCTCGCCTTCGGGCCTGCGCCCGCTGTCGCTCCCGGGCGCGCCCCCTTCGGTCAGCGCGGGGCTCTCGCCAGTCTCGGGAGCGCCGCTGGTTGCGCCTGGAGCACGCACGGCGACGCCGCTTCCGTTGCCAGAGCAAAATTCTTCGTCAATCGTGCCCTGGACGTCTGGAGGGAGCGCTCGAGGTTCGCCGCCCGTTAGAGTAGGTTCACTGGCAGGGGAGGGAGGGGGCGAATAGGCGCGAAGGGGTTTCTCCCGACGAGCCGGCGGATGGCCTCGCTGTCCTGCGTCTGAACGGCTGGTCCGTGGCCCCCCTGCTGGGTCTGCGGCGCCCCCAGAGGACTGCTGGCGGTCTGCTCGTTCTGTGGGGGAGGCGGGGGTGGCGCGATGTGGCAGGCGAGCCCCTGCTGGTCCAAGGGCGCTCAGCGGACAGCTGCGGCTGCCGTCCGCACTTTCGGGGGCCAACCCCTGTCCACCCGGTTCTACCCCAGGGGCACGGGTGACGGCTCGTGCCTCTTCCGCACCTTCAAAGGCCTCCGCCGCTTCGGGCCCCCGATACTCCGCGGCCTCCGCAGCTTCCGCCCATTCCGCCGCGGCCTCCCTCCTTTTCCCTGCCACGCTGCTGCTGCTGAGGGAGCAAGGGTACCTCTGCGTCTTCTCGTGGGTTCTGCAGGCTTCCAGAGGTGCCCGGAAGGCCGTCAGGGAGCAGGGGCACCTCCTTCTGACCGTCAAAGAAGGTGCTTTGAGGTCTCGCGGGTCTCTCGTCCCCGGGGTGGGCCTGCTGCTGTTGGGGCTGCTGTTGCTGATGCTGCAGCACCTATTGCTGCTGGTGCGGTTGTGGTTGTGGGTGCTGCTGCGGTTGCTGTTGCCGCTGAAAGGGGGGTGCTGCTGCTGCTGCAGCTGCGTGGTTATGTTGCTGCTGCTGTTGCTGCTGTACCTGCTGCGGCTGCTGCCCTGCTGCGGCGTCTGTTCGCAGGGTGCCTGCGGCTGCTGCTGCTGCTGCTGCTGCTGCTGCTGCTGCTGCAGCTGTTAGGTTATGTTGCCGCTGCTGCTGCTGCTGCTGCTGCTGCTGCTGCTGCTGCTGTTGCTGTCCTGCTGCAGTGGCAGCTGCTGCTGCTGCTGCTGTTGCTGCTGCTGCGGCTGCGGCTGCAGGTGCTGCTGCTATTGCTGGTGCTGCTGCGGCTGCTGCTGTTGCTGCTGCAGCTGCTGCTGCCGCTCCTGAAGCTGCAGCTGCTGCTGCTGCTGCTGCTGCTGCTGCTGCTGCTGTTGCTGGTGGGTTATGTTGCTGCTGCTGCGGCGGCTGTTGCTGCTGCTGTTGCTGCTGCCCTGCTGCTGCGGCTGCTGCGGCTGCTGCTGTTGCTGCTGTCGCGGCTGCTGCTGCTGCGCGGCCGCCGCGGCTGCCGCCGCCGCGCCAGCGGCTGCGGCGGCCGCGGCGGCCGCGGCGGCGCGGCTGCGGCGGGCCCCAAGGCGGCCCGCGCGGGCCACGGCGGCCGCGGCGCCGGCCGCTTGGCCCGCGGCCGCCGCGGCGGCCGCCTCCGCCACGGCGGCGGCGGCGGTAGCCGCGGCGCCGGCAACCGCAGGGGGCGGCGCCGGCGCCGGCCGCCGAGCCCGCGGCGCCGGCCCCAGCGGCGCCAGCCCTGGCGGCAGCGGCGGCGGCGGCCACGCCGCCGGCGGCCGCGGGGGCAGCCGCGGCGGCGCCGGCCACCGCGCCCTCCGCCGCCGCCGCCGCCGGCGGGGAGCCGGCAGCAGCAGTGGCAGCGGCAGCGGCGGCGGCAACCGCCGCCAGCCCGGGCGGCGGCGGCCAGGCGCCAGCGGGAGCCGAGCTGGGCCTGCCGCCGCCGCCGCCAGCCGTTGCCGCCGCCTCCCGCGCGCCGGCCTCCAAGGGGGAGGCGGCGGCGGCGGCGGCGGCAGCAGCCGCAGCAGCGGCAGGCGGAAGACCCGGCGGCCCGTCTCGGGCGGCGGCGGCCAAGCGCTGCCGCCGCCGCAGGGCGGCGCCCGAAGGGCCGCCGCCGCCCGAAGCCATCGCGACGGGGCGGGCCCGGCGCGAACCTGGACCAGGGGCGGGCTCGAGCCGAGACGGCTTGAGCCAGGCTACGGACCTTGAGCCAGGGGGCTACGGACTGGTGGGGATACGCGAAACGTCTAGAATTTAGACCGACTGCAAATCAAACACGGAATCTAGTGCGAATGAGATGCATTTTCTGCATACCTGTCCGGACCATGGATGAAAGGGCCAGCCCAGAGGGGTTGAGGCCCAGACGAGGACGCCTGTAGCACGTGGCTGCACGATCCCATCCCAACAGGTACAGGCAAATGAGTATCGTTTAACCGATCTCCATCCCCAGCGGCGCGGCCTGGGCCCCACTGGCCGCTTTACCCCCCTGGTTGGGGATATAGGTCGTTCCCTTCGGGTTTCGAGGGGTGTATCCCCAACTGGGGTGGTAATTTGGTGGGGGTCTCGAAGGGGATGGGGAAGAGGATGACTTTTCTGGCGACGGCGAGCCTCGGCCACGTATGTCCTTGCCCGACAACCCTCCCAGAAGAACAAACCATAAAAAAGACATATATATATATATATATGTGTGTGTGTGGCGGAAGTCAGCATGGGGTAATATGATATTCTTCAGATCGCTGCACGGTCGCATGAAGGCCACGTGGTCCGTGGCGCCCCTGCCATCCTTCCAACGTTGGCGGGGGCGACCGCCGAGCGCAACTCCTCGGGCCAACTTTGGTTAGGGGCCAGGGGCGATGGGCCTGTTTGCCACCACCACCACCACCACCAAAAGCTGGAGGGTGAGGGGGTCCTCCTCCACCTCCTCCTCCTCCTCCTCCTTCTCCTCCTCCTCCTCATCCTCCTCGTCCTCCTCCTCCTCCTCGTCCTCCTCCTCCTTCCCCCCTCCAACTCATGGTGGTGGTGGTGGTGGTGGGCAACAAGCCCATCAAGGGGCGGGGTGTAAAGGAGTGAATCTCCCCATTACGTTTTTTGTCGGAAAGGCTGGAGACCTCAGGAACAACCCGAAATCCAGAGCCCCCCTGAGCCCAAAGCGGTACTCATTTCAGCGTCTTGACTGAAGGGTTGGGTGGGAAATTGAAGGCGACTCCCTGGAGCCGCCTCACTACGGAAGAGGAAGGGGTTGCACGAGCACCTTCCCAAGAAGCAGCAAACACACCATTAATGATGGCGCCAAACCTACTTGACCAGTTTGCTGCGTGCCCGTTTGGTCCGTTAAAGATGTTTTTCGCTCTGAACAACGGCATGCCTACCAAGAGAGACAAATGCTTCTCGGCGCAGCGCGTGCACGATCTCAGCAGAACCGGACGGCAGCCCTTCTGTTTTCGTCCGCGTCCTCTCTGGATGCTCACGGCTGGTATAATGAGCTCGGTCTGTGGGGGCTTCGTGTGACTTCATGCTAGGGGGCGAGAACGAATGCACACACTGGTCGCTACAGCGTATTGTTAAACATCAGGCTACCGACTGCCGAAGTCAGAGTGTTCTACAGCATGCGATTACGCGCTGCAGAGCGTCATCCAGAGAACCGTTGAGAAAGAAACGTCATAGTTGCGCAGGCACGAACGAGGCCGGGACAAGATGACCATGTGCAATCCGAGAAAAACGGACAGGCATCCGCTTCTGTACCATGTGACGTTGTGATCACACTGCCCAGCATATGCGAGCATATGCGAACATATACAACCGGACAGCAGCCCTGCCATGCACGCTGGAGAAAACATAGCATCGAGCAGCCATGGCTTCAAAACGATGCCATGCCACTGAAACCGTGATGGCGAAGGGGTGTGAAGGGCACTGTGGAAAACATATATTTGCAGACAAACATCTATCTATAGACTGTCTGGGTGGGAGCGCCACGCAGCGGGCGTGGAGCAGAAATAAGCGGCCCTGGAGAAATTCCCGTGTACCCTCACTGGAGGTGACGCAGAGCTTACACAGAGCGTCCACAACTGCGAGCCACAGCAAACATGCCAAACGTACATGGTCTTCCAGATGTCGGTGGACGATTCTCAGCATGGCAACGCTTCGCCAACGCATCCCCTAGAAGCCATAACAGATTTTGAGTCTATAGCTCAGGCGGCTGTTGGCGGCAGGACTACACTACTGGCAACCAGCAAGAACAGATTGCCACCCAACACGGCCAACTCTCAACGTCAACTCCCGTGCAGAACTAGGTGCCTGAGTGCGGCCTCACCGCAGAAGTTCCCTCACATCTCCTGGCTGTTCTCGCTGCTGGACACCTGCACGAGCCTTGGGGGCTTCACACGGGCTGCCCGCCTGAAGGAGGCGAGCCACGACCGTGGGCCCTGCGGCTTCTCCACCGAGCCGCTTGCAGCCGGCCCAGCAAACCAGGCGAGCAGCATGAACGCACTCTGGGCGGCCGCCGTAGCAGCGAGCACCGCCTTGAAGTAGCGCATGCCTCCGAGTCTCTCCAGCATCGTGATCAGCGGCCAGCCAGCCAGCACGCCCCCGAACTCGGCAAAGAGGAAGTTCAGCGCCTCTGCGCGTCCGCCCCACTTCGGCGGCACAGCCTGCCGGATGGCGAGCATCAGGAGAACGCGGTTTCCAAAACAGGCGCAGCCAGCGAAGAGGCCCAGGCCGGCCAGCGCTGCGGCCGAGCAGGTGTGCCAGCCCAACACCACGGCAAGCATGGCAACGCCAGCGGCTGAGGCAACAGGCAACCGCTCTCCACCCAGTCTGTCTGTCAGGGGCCCAGTCGAGAGGGTACCCACGAAGCCACCGATCTGCCACCAGAAGATGAAGAACATGAACATCCGCACACCGTCGTCCTTACCCAGCGTGTCCTCCAGGTAGATGCTCATCCAGAACTCAACTCCAAAGCGAAAGATGTAAAGCATGAGGCTGGCGGAAGCTATGAGGAAACAGGAGGCCACCATACCCGAGCGTAGCTCGTGCGGCTTCAGGCGCCGCAGCCGTTGCACTAGGCGCGCGAATCGGACCTCTGGCCCCGAGGCCAGCGCGCTCTCCACTGAGAGCTGGCGTGAGACCTGGCGCGACCGGCAGACCTCCGAGGACGCCTGGCGCGAACCGCAGAGCCCCAACGACGCCTGGCGTGACCTGCAGAGCTCGTCCAGCTCGGGTTCGGGCGGCTGTGTCAGTCCCTGGGCGAGGCAGAGAGCGGCGACCACGTTCGACCCCCCAAGCGCGGCGAACGCGCCACGCCAGTCACCAAGGCAGTGAGCGAGCCCCGCCACCACCATGGGCACTACGGACCCAACAAGATTGATCTGCGAGGACACGAGGCTGTACGGCAGGCCGCGCTGCATAGGCGGGAACCAACTGCACAGGAGACCTGCGACCCCTGGCCAGCTTGGGCCTTGCGCCACGTGCAGGAGGACCACCAGCAGCTGCAAGACCCACCAGCTCGGCGCCAGGGCCATCAGCAGAAAACAAAGACCTGGGCTCAAGACACCTGCCTGCAGAAAGCGCCAGGGTGCCCTGCCGTCGGACAGCGCCGAGGCCGCAGGCTTCACGAAGGCGTAAGTCAGAGCTGCGAGGCTGAGGACCTTTCCAGCCTGTGCCCGCGTGGCGCCGAAATCTGACAGGATTTCTGGCAACGCCGCAGAAAGCGAACCACGGTACACGAGGCAGGTCAACGCGTAGAGCACCGTCACTCTGGCGAGGATCTGACGCTGCTGACGTGACATCGGCTGCACCTCGGCCGCATCCAACTCGCCACCAGCAGCCGTCATGGACGGGCAAATTCTGCGGTTCCAAGTAACGGACCCAATACACCTGGCCTACACCGCCTCTCTTGAGCCAAAGTGGCTCGAGCCCGGCCGTCAAAGACAAGGCCGACCGAGAGAGGGTGAGACCATACAAGGATTCCTGTTCGTTTGGCAGGTGGCTGCAAGATCCTAACGGGCACCCCATAACGATATTCAAAGGGCCCAAGGACACACGAATAAATACATGCAAATAACGAGATTCCCCATAGTTTCCAATATGGTCTGGGTTTTTGCTTCCCCTTCACTTCCCACAGTTTCCCATATTTTCCTGGGAATCGACGATTAATTGTGTCTGTGTGTTCTTTCCCCTCCTCAGATTTGTGCAGCGCTCTTGCTGGCTCGTCGACCATGTTCAGAGAGTTGGGTGCACGGAAGGTCTGGAAGGTACGGCCACAAACGACTGCATTGCAATCGTTTGTGCAACACGCAATGGCATTACCAAATCAAGACTGCGCTCCTCGGGGTGGCCATTTTGCGAAGCACTCGACAAATATCGCAATGGCGCAATCGTCACTGTGCAATGGTTTCCCGGTGGCCTCTCGAGGTTATAACCGTTTGGCCGGTCCAACGTTGCAGCTTTACGGTCCACCAGATTCGCCAAAAGCACGACTGCAGTTTTGCCAGCGCGTCGAGCGACACATGGCATCTGTTCGCTGTGTGCTCATGCAAGCGCGTGCATTCCGTCTGTGTGACTAGGCAGATCACAGACTCGGCACGCTCAGGTACGGTCCCTGCGGCCGCGGGAACGCCGTGCCCTGTCTCGAGCAATGGCGTGATGCCACCAGGCCGGGCAGGCATCGTCCTGCAGGGCAAGGCGAAAATCATTGCGCTGCTGGGCCCCCAATTTGCTCCCGACCGTTCTGCTAGAAAACTTCTGCACTCTTGTGATTCCAACTGTCGACGTCATCGTCGTCGTTAGCGTTCTCGTCGTCGTCAGTGTCGTCGTCGTCATCGTCCTCGTCCTCGTCCTCATCGCGATCGTCTTGGTTTGGGACGCACAAAGATATGTCCTCCTTGGAGGCGCACGTCCGACCCGAACATGTAGTACACCGATCTTGTAGCATATCGTTTCCCGAGCGGTGTGATCAGAAAGCGCCCGCCACGACGCATATACTATCAGATTTCTCGGTGCGCGCGTCGCCTCTGGGGGAACGACGCACATATAGTATAAGTATGATGGGGTGACGACGATGGTTGTCATGGTCGCCGTTGGAAACCAGAGCAGGCCCCCGGAGGCCAAAAATGCCCGCTCCGACCCTGCTTCTGCGGGGACACGAGGACGCCGCCACTGCTGCTCCCTGCGCCCCCTCCAGGGCTGCACCCGGACAAGGATACTGCGGGGCATCCGGCCGTGGCGACGAGGGGCAAGCAGCGGTGTCGGCAACTATCCCCCGACATATGCAGTGCCTTGTCTTTTTGGAGGCCTGGACATTGGCACCAACACCAACAGAGGGGGTTTGCCTCCACAGGGAGAAGATGATCCTGGATTTCGGTGTCGGTGGTAAGCCCGAATATTACCACCATCACCGAGATGGGATCCTTTTCACTCGGTGGAGGCACACCGCCGATATTGGTGTTGGTGTCAACCTCTAGGCTTGCGATTTTTGTCCATGCGAGGTCCGCGGAGGTCCCGACCCCGAACCATTCCGCGACAGCCCTGAGGGCCCGGCGAGGGCCCCCCAGCGGCCGCCAACGGCCGAACGCACTACGCCGTGACCCTTTCGCGACGCGAGCATGTCTGACTGGGTCTGCCTCCTCTGATTGCTGAGCCGCCAAAATGCTCGGGAATCCCTTCCGTCGGGCACATGCAAGGGTGACCCTAAGCAAAAGTGGCCTTGGGTGCGCGGTTTCACGGGGGACGCCGGATGGCCGCACCTGGGCGCGCAAGCCGCTGCCACCGCTTCGCGCTCAGCGATCGGGGGGCCACATTATAGGGAACCGAACTCTGTAATTACATCGACGTTTTTTGTTATGGCCTTGTACCGAAGTTTGCATAGGAAAGCGGATCCTGGTGTATACGGGATCATGGTGTGTACGTTTTTTGTCGTTTCGCAAGGAAACGGGAAAAAATATACACCACACTACCCCGACGTCGTCCCCGACCCTCACAAACGCTTGGGACTAAAAAGCAACCCGCCACTTCCCACCAGCCCTTTTGGGCGACAGGTGGTCTAACGAGGGTCTCTTTCCTCTTCCACAACCCCTTTCTTCCCCTTCGGTAAGGAATTTCCTTCCCCCCAATACCCATTTTACCATGGACCTGGACGGGGGGGAGGCGCGACGAGGTTGGGCGTTTTTTGATGCCACACCTCACGAGGATCGTGGCCCCCGAGGGGGGGGACCAACATAAAGGAACACCCTATTTTGATCGATAACCTCCCACGATGGCCTCCAGTGCCCCCAAGAGGCTCCCAAAAGAGGCTCCCAAGAGGACCCAAAGAGCGCCCCAAGAACCCCGAAGCCTCCGAGAGGCACCCGAGAGGCCTCCATGAGTCCCCCGAGCGGCCTCAGAGAGCCCAAAATGACCTCCAAGATGCTTCAGATAGCCCGAGCTGGCTCAAGATGGCTCCAAAAATGTTCCAAACGGCCCCAAGGCCGCTCCAAAACAGCTCGACATGGTCACGGAGCCTCCCAAGCCTCTTTCGCTGTTTGACTATGTGTGTCTCCTCCTCTCTCCCCCCGTCAGCTCTCATGGGAACCGTTTCTGGATGGGTTGGTGGGGATTCTGTATGATCGCGACCGCAGCGAGAAGATCGGGCGGCGTCAAGGGGCGAAGCACAGAGGCGACGGCCCAAATTAGCGCACGGGAAGAGGAAAACTAAAAGGGACAAGACCAAAGAAGAGGAGAGGCAAACAGGAGGCGGGCCTCGCTGCCGCGCACAAGAGAGCGCACGCTGGGAAGTACTTCCGGGCGATGTGCAGCACCAAGTGGTTGTTCAGAAGCCAAACCGTGTCCATGACGAGGAAGACCGTCACCATGACGCACAGCAAGCACAGGGCAGGCCGAGGGACGCGGAACGAAGGACAGCAAGCCAGGCCACCGCCTCGGAGGAAAGGCCAGGCATGCGGGCGCTCAACGGAATGGATCCGGATTGCCAGACTCCGAAGAACTTCGGGGGGCGGCCAGGGCGGGCGCGAGCAGACCGCGCCGCCTACAGTGAAAACGTATAGTAAGGACGGGTGGTAAGGACGCGATGAGCGAGCAACGACATGTGTACATGTACGCCCTCCGCGGTCTTGCGCGCACGAACCTCCGCGTTCAAACACAATTCGGCGGAAACAAACCGCGTACATGTACATATGTTGTTGCCCTCTGACGCGAGACCCTTGGAGGCCGAGGTTGGGATTTGTTGGGCGGCGGCCTGAGAGGCTGGCCAGGGGAAACGGCAAAGGACGGGCCGTAGAGGCAAGGACACAAGGGTACCCTAGAAAAGGCGAACGTCCTTACTGGACGCGTTGACTGCATGGCGGGAGCACACAGCCAAAAGACTGCAGGGTGAAGCAGGTAGGGAGGCCGCGGGCGTCACCAGGCATGGGCGGGCAGCCCGCGCCGCCAAGGTGGAAGAGAGACCAAACAAAGGAGAGAAAGGGGAAATGCCGAGGGCGGGCGAAGACACTCGCCGCCCAGGTGGCAGGAGGGCATAGTCAAAAAACTGCCAGGGATGAGCAGACGCGGCAGGGGAGGACCAGGCGTCGGTCGACTCCGTGCGGGGAAGACGGACGGTGGAGCGGCAAAGGAGCCCCGAGCGCCCCAAAGCGGGCGGGGCGCAGGGGGGTGGCCCCGCACCGAGACGTGAAGGGCCACTTGGGGGCCCAATGCCGGAGAAGCACTGGGAGCCCGGACGAACACCGACAGCCCCAGCAGGGCGCGCGCCAGGTGGCACTGTGCACAAGGCCACAGCAGCTGCGGATGGGCCGCGGGAGGGGCAGGCGGGAGGCGCGGCAGGCGATGACCGAACCGACGGAGGACGGCCAGGGAGAGACCCCCACGGAGGGAGGCCAGCAGACCAGCGCCCTGGGTTCCACGCGACCTCGCGCGCGGGGTCTGGCGGAGCACAAAACAGCGAGATGAAGGCGACCAACGGTTGCAGGTCTAACTAAAGATAACGCGCGGCACGAGGCACCGGTGGCGACGAGAGCGACTAACGGTCGCAAGCTGGGCGAGCGGCGGGAACTGACGAAGGGCCGCCGGAGAGGATGCCTCCCGGGGGGGGGGGGCCTTGGGCCGAGGGGGTTGCCCTGCGGCCTCTCACGCCGGGGCAGGGCCAGGACGGCGAGGCCGCGCAGGGCAGACGAGGGCCCGAGGGAGGGGCCCCCGGCCGCCGCACGGCAAAGGAGAAGTCCGAGCAGCGCCCAGAGCGGGGCAAGGCGGCTAGGCAAGCGCCGCGGGGGCCAGACGCGGCGGCGACACGCATCGGGCGCTCCGGCGATCTCCCGGCAGGAGAAAGGGGGGGAGCGCCGAGTCCCCAGGGAGGCCGCCTGTGGCGGAGGCGGAGGGGGGCGGCCCGGCGCCAGGGGGCGGGGGGCCACAAGAAGCCCCAGAGCACGGGCGCCCTGGGGGCCGGGGGCGGGCCGCCAGCCCCAGCTGGGCGCGCGCCGGGCGGCACTGGGCATAAACTGGGGCGGCCACCGGGGAGGCCGCGGAGCGGGCGTGGAGGCGGGTGGGCTAGGAGGAAGGAGCCCGCACCGCGGATCCACTGGCGCGCGGAGCGGCAGGGAGCCGGCGCTCGCGGGGGGAGTGCACCGAAAAGGCGGCGCCCGCGACAAGACGCGTGAGTCGAAGACATCACGAAGAGGGGAGCCCACGACAACACACGCGAGTCGAATACATCACGAACTGGGGATACTTCTTGATCGCGACAGTAGCGACAAATCGCTCGGCGTCAAGTCAAATCGCAGCTAACAAGCAGCGGACTAAAACAGGCACTAAGCGCGCAGGAGCGAACTACGTCGAAGTGGGAATACTTGTTTGGTCGCGGTCGCAAGCAAGAGCGCAGGCGGCGAGCAGGGCGTCCGGGCCAACGGGCAAGCCCAAGAAGCTGCAAGGCGCAGCGCGAGCCGGCCGGGCCAGCCCTCAGAGGCAGCAGCTGCGGCAGCGGCGGCGG